CAAAACCCTGGGTTTAGCAGGCCGTTGATTTCACGGAGAGAGAGGGAAGCAAATGAATACATCTATTTTTTACATCTTAAGCTGGCAGCAGACGGTGCAGCATGACTGATAGCCCTTGGCGTCTTCTGGGTGCTTCGCAGAAGATACTGTACTACGAATGCTAGCCATCATCGTGAAGACGGTTCAATAGGACTGCCGGCAGGACTGAGTCTCCAGGAGACAAAGCATGTCTGCCCAGGTGCCTCTAATTGAGCTGGAATACAACGATGACGGATAACAGTCGTAATACACCATCTACTGCCAAAAGGCAAGGGGCTGCTGCTGTGTAGCAATGCAGCCCCACGTCTGCCAGCACCCGGATAGCCGATGAAGGCTACCAGTCATACTGCACTGTCTACTGCCAAAAGGCAATTAGCTGCTGCTGTGTAGCAATGCAGTACCACATCTGCCGGCACCCAGATGACATATGGTGACGGTGAGCTGAGCTGAGCGGGCTCCATGCTTGCCATGGTATGTTGTCTGCACAGGTAGCCCAGGTAAAAAGGCGCAAATCGATTGTCTGCCTTTGCTCTGATGGAGGGAGAGGGGCCTGACGACATGTACAAAGAACCCCCCGCGACACTGTTTTGCATCATCAAGCATTGGGATCTCAACCCAGAATTCCAATGGGCGGCGGAGACTGCGGGAACTGTGCGATAGCTACCCACAGTGCAACGCTCCGGAAGTCTACGCTAGCCTTGGTACTGTGGACACGGTCCGCCGACTTCATGCATTTAGAGCATTTTATGTGGGGACACACACAATCGACTGTATAAAATCGATATCTATAAGGCTTGGTCTACACTAACCCCCCAAATCGAACTAAGGTACGCAACTTCAGCTACGTGAATAACGTAGCTGAAGTTCGAAGTACCTTAGTTCGATCTTACCTCGGTCCACACGCGGCAGGCAGGCTCCCCCGTCGACTCCGCGGTACTCCTCTCGCCGAGCTGGAGTACCGCAGTCGACGGCGAGCACTTCCGGGTTCAACTTATCGCGTCCAGACAAGACGCGATAAGTCGAACCCAGAAGTTTGATTGCCAGCCGCCGAACTAGCGGCTGGGTATAGACGTACCCTAAAACCGGCTTCTATAAATTCGACCTAATTTCGTAGTGTAGACATACCCTTTCCTACACTGGCAATTCACAGCGCTGCGCTCAGGGGTGTGAAAAAAGTGAGTGCAGCGCTGTAAAGCGCCAGTGTAATCAACGCCTGCAGCGCTGCACGCTCGCTCGCAGCGCTGCAAGTACTCCACCTCTCCGAGGGGAATAGTTTGCACCGCTGCGAGCGAGTGTGCAGCGCTGCAGGCGCTGATTACACTGGCGCTTTACAGCGCTGCACTCACTTTTTTCACACCCCTGAGCGCAGCGCTGTGAATCCGCAAGTGTAGCCAAGGCCTTAGATTGAACCAAAGTATTGTTTACTTTAACAGTAGGAACAAAGTATTGAGGGAGAAAGGATTTTAAAACAAAGTCTACATGCATGTCTGTCTTACCTGAACCCTTACCATCCCCTGCGTGCCCCCAGAGGTCCCTATACCCCTGGTGAGAACCACTGACCTAAAGGCCGATCAGATCCTTACGGGAACGGAAGGTTTGCACCCCGGTCAGTTTTGCTTTGCTTTGTGCAGGGGGCCGGGGGAAGAGCAGTGATGGGGGAGCTACTCCGAGAGCAGCGTCAGGGATCCGTAGGGAGCGGCCCGGGAGGCGGTCAGGAGCGCTAGGATGCGAGGGATGCGGCGCGGGGCTCCTGAGCCGGGTACCGCTAGCCGGTGCGGCGGGATCCCGCGGCGGCCCCGCAGGGCAGGGCAGGGCGCCCCCTCCCCTCGCTCGCTGGCTCGCTCACTGCCCCAGCCGCTGGCTCTGACGGGGCGAGGCCGGGCGGGGTGAGCGCCGGACGAGCCCCGGCCCCCGTGCCCGGGCAGGGCGGGTGAGCGGCCAGTCGCACCCGGGTTGCTAGGTCCTCTGCGTCCGAGGGCGGAGCAGCCGCGGGGCCGCCGCTACCCGGGCTGGCGGAGGAGTTCGGGGGAGGTAAGACACGTCCCGGCGGCGGGGCCCGCTCCGCAGCCCTCGCCCGCCCTTCGGGAGCCACCGCCGGCTGCCTCGCGCACCCACCGGCCCCGCGAGCCCGTCTCCGCCTCCCTCCGCCGGGCCGGCAGCTCGCACCCCCCCCCCCAGCCCGCCAATGGTTTGCTCCGGCAGCCCAGTTGTCCCCGCCTGCCGCCGCCGCTGCCTCCAGCGTCCAGCCTTGGCAGGCTCCGGAGCAGGTGCTGCTGACCGGGGAGGGACCCCAGACACCGGCACGAGAGCAGGCGGGCGGGTGCAGCGCAGCGACCCTGCAGAGCGGAGTGTGGGGGGGACCCTCAGCCTCAAGGTACAGGCAAGAAAGCCGGGGAATCCCGGTCCCTTCCCACTGCCCTTCACCCCCTCCTGGGCGCAGCGCGGGGCGGCTGTAGCAGCCGGGTGGGGTTGTTCTACCCAGAGCCCCCTGAACCTTCCCGCTCCTCCCAGCTCCCCCGTGGTAGCAAAGGTACAGGGGCGCGAAGCCTCTGCTGCGGGGAGATGGGCGTCGAAGGGAGAGGCCAGATGAGGAACAGCTGCTGATAGTGATTCAGCATCATTCCCTGCGAGCCACTGGGGGTGGAGGTGGAGGTCGGACACCAGAAGGGGCCCTTTCAATTACCCAGAATAGAAAGAACTCAGAGTCAAAGGTGCTTATTCACCCTCTCTCCTTTCATGCTTATATGTGATGCGCAGCTGGGGTCTTCTCCCCATAGAGGTGTAATGTTAGCTTTGCTGCTGCTGGGGGGTGGAGGAGAAGGGAGAGGGAGCATCTGCCTATACTGTATCTTAATTTCTCTCTCCCTCTGCTGTTATTTGGCTTGTTAAGTGTTGGAGTACAATTTATGTAAAAAATGCCCCCCCCCAAAGGCTCCCTTCCAGTAAACCTTTCTCTCATAAATAATGACTTACATGATAATATGATTGATCTCATTGAAACATGGTTTCAGGATTGGGCCCCAAATGGGATGCGGCATATGCTTCCGGTCAGTTTAGACTGTTCTGAAGAGCTTCATAAATGCAGCCGGTTTAATAATTTATGTTAGAACATCTTAGGACTATCATTTCATCTGAAGAATGACGAGCAAGCACATCTTTTTGTCTGTGAGCATATTATATTTTTAACAAATCAGCTGGTTTTCAGAATAAAATTTATTCATTACTGATGTGTGTATGTGTGTGGGGGAGGAAGTCCATTTAAAAATAGCTTATGTAAGTTATATTAGAGAGCCTAACTAAGGTCTCTGCAGAGAAGGGCGAGGTTATGGTGGGGTCATTTCTTGGCAGTAGCATTTAGTGAATGCTCAAATTTAGAACAAATGAAATCCATGGACATGAAAAAGTACTTCTTTTTCAGCTTCCTGCTGGTAGACCAACATCTGTCATCGGAAGCTTCTTTTTGTAATTCATATGGTCTTAAACTGCACATCAGTTTAAGCAATATACCTGATAACCTACATACAAATATTTGATGCCAGAGTTCAAATATATGTTATTAGATTCCACCAAACTAATGTGAGACTTTTGTGTGTGTATTTGATATGTATTTGCAAAGTAAAAACCTAATTTGGGCACTGTTCTTCCTTATAACAAAACTAGTGCTTGATACTATATTTCTTGCCCACCCAAAGATACTATTGATTTCATGTACCTGGACATCTGTATTAATATTAATTATAAATAGAGCAGCACTGTCAGGAGATCAGAAATTCCTTCTCCAGGGAAGGGGGTGGAACATGGATTCTAGAGAATATATCAAAATGTGCAGAATGACTGTACAAGATGCTTTGTGCCCTTGTTGAATTTCCAGGGTAAAGGTTTCCTGCAGGAATAGAATAGGCTCAAAATAGCACTTCAAAGGACAAAGGCAGAAGGCTGTTTTTCTACCAGGGTGTCTGTCACATTGCAAACAAGGGTATTGTCAGCAACTTCATGTTCGTTATAGCAGCATCTGAAACTATTTGCAGAGGTAGGACACTTAAGACACTTGATGCACTATTAAAAATATAGCAGAGCAGAGAAATAAAATTGTTTTCAGAAAATAATATAAGATATTCTAGATGCTTCTTAAAGAAGTGTAGTCTTACCTGTAACTATGTGTTCTCACACTGCTAGTGCAATGGGGTCCTGGTTCATGATTAGGGCTCCTGAGCGGTAAAGTAACACAAATAATAAGGACATCACCAGTCTAGAAGATGCTTCTGGGTCCAATCTGGTAGAAGTGTGGACAGAGGCAGCAGCCTGAAGAATTTTGGAGCCCATGCTCAACTAGTAGGCAGGAAGTGGTTGACTCCCAGCATCTTCCAAAGCCAGTAATGTTAGAATTGGAAACGCAGAATAAGCTATGGTCATGTCTGAAGCCGAGAAAGATGAAGAAGTTACAAATGGTGGGATAATAAATCATTTTATAATCTGTTATATATTAAAGTTTTTTTCTAGGATCTTTATATTTGCTAGCAGTGAAAGACATAGTAAATATTAAGGATGAGATGTGAATGCTTAATGCATACTACTGAATGCAGTGCTTACTACCAGTAGTTATTGTCGCCAGGATTAAGCCTCAGTTTCTCGTTAAATGTGAATCTTTGATTTAATCTATACTGTAAAATAGGATACACAAAGGGCTTTGGATCAGACTCTTAAAAAGGAATGAACGAATAAATTCCAGACTGAAAAAATAGCAAAGTATTCTTTTTCTTGTGGTTTGTCTTAAAGAAGACCAGAGTTGATACACTCATTGATTAATAATAAGGCATTCTTGTTCTTATGGTCACTGATAAGATGAAGGTCTCTATTATGGATGGATAAGGTAGTATACGTTTTTAGTTTTTTCGAAGTGCATTGCTACAGAGGCAGAGAAGGTAGTTTGGGTATCATACCCATGTATGTCCATGCTTTCAGATGTCTGGGTTTCTTGTAAGTCCAACCTTAACTTTGAATTTCCTTGCATTTTAATGGAGTGGTTTTACAAACTGCCACATTATTATAGGGAGATTTATACTTATATATGTATACTCTGCCTTAACTTCACCTTAAAGTTTTTTTGTCTGGAAGTCCCTTAGTTTTTTAAATAGCCCTAAAATGGGAGTAGGGAAAGCAGGTATTGAGATAGAGAGGCCTTATTTTCCTTCTTCTTGCTGACTTCATGAAATCTGTAGGAGTGGATCTCCCACTCCTGATAATCTCGGGAACTGTACAGGAGAAGGGATCCCTTTTTGGGCACCTTATTAGGTCTCCAGGATGAGGAAGGGACTCGAGAAAGCAAAGCATATGTGATAGGGCATGGCTCCTCCCATTCCTGTGCACCTCCTGAGGCCCACATGAGGGGAGCCCATTTCTGAAAATGTTAGGGAAGTTCACTACACCTGTACAAATGCATCCAATCTGTCAAAACTTAAGAGGCTGATCAGGGTCTTCTCAACCACAATGTTTGGAGGCTTGTGAGCTCCATGTTAATCTTGACTTTTAGCAAGCTGGCTTGGGGGCAGGGTAGAAGGGACCTTTCAAAATCCAAACTGCAGGCATTGGGAGGCTAATGGGATCTCCATAAGCATTAGGAGGCTCTTTGGAGTCCCCTAGCCCTCCCTCCCTTCAAAGCTTAAGAGGCTTCTTATGGGGATGCTCTCCAACCTTTTCTCTGCAGACACTAGGAGGGTCCCTTCAAGCTTGTTGGAAACAATGAGCTATTTTTACATTAGTGTTACATTCCAATGATAAAAATGATTAATATTGTAATCAACTAATCTTTGGTTTTGTGCACTGGATCTCAACCAGATGAGTCTAGTAAAGTAGGTATATCTTTCTCCTTTCCATTTTTTGCTATAAGGTTGGCAAAATTAAATAAACAAACCATCAGTGGCTATTAGCCAAGATGTATAGTGATGCAACCCCATTTTCTGGGAGTCCCTAAGCCTCTGACTGCCAGATGCTGGAACTGGACAGCCGGGGATGGATCACTTGATAATTACCCTGTTCTATTCACTCCCTTTGAAGCATCTGGAATTGGTTACTGTTGGATGACAGGCAACTGGGCTAGACGGACCATTCGTCTGACCCAGTATAACCGTTCTTATGTTCTTATGTTAATTAGTGAGGGGTTTTTTGTTCTCTAATAAAATCAGAAAACAGAGACCCCTTTGTTTAATTCACTTTCAGTTAGGTAAAATTTTTTACCTTGATCCCAAATGTAACTTATTCATTTTGAATCTGATTTTTTGTTCTTTTTAAAAAATGGGTTTTGGAGGGCAGGGGACAGTATGTGGCAAAATGTGCTTAAAATAGGGACTTAATTGCAACTTTAGCTATGGCCTTATTTACATTAAGGACATTGATTACAATTCTGTGCACTCCCTAATGTAGACATTGTGCGGTAGCATAATGTGATCTTACATCAGTATTACTATCAATTACTACTCCAATTACAAATCATTGAAAAATCATGAGTTAGCCCCCCTTAAAAATGAAGATTAAAAATATAAATGTTGGGTCCTTTATATTTTGCTTTATGTTTTTTGAGCCTTTAGGGTTCACATTTTCCAGCTCTTCTGTCTAACCATGAGGGTGAGAAACTTTTCTTTTCTCTTAACTTAATAAAAGGAGGGGTGGGGGAAAGGAGTGGTGTTGGAGAGGAAAAAATAAAACAGAGATTCTCACATAATAACATGGCTCAAGCAATTGGGACTTGAAGCATCAAATATTGAGACCCATGATAAAATCATGAGTTGACAACACTGTTCAGTGCATCTTAATTCAGAAACATATTATTACACCTTGATGTTTGTGACCCATTCATCTCTCAGTTATGCTTCAGACCTGTCCACACCTTAATGTGTGTTTCAAACAATATTGGTTTTGGAAGATGCTGGGATTGAACCGCTTCCTGCCTACAAACTGACCATGGGGTCAAAATTCTTCAGGCTGCTACCTCAGTCTGCAATGTGTGCAGACCAGACCCAGAAGTATCATCTAGG